CCTCCTCAATTTCTTGTTGTCTTCGCAACTTGAGTCTTCATTTCTAAGAAGACCTGCAACCCCTCGCCAGCATTTTGGTAAGATTGAGTAGAAAACGATCTCCTTCCCTTAATTCTAGTAGAAATAGTGTAAATATTGACTTTTTTTTTTTTGAACAGCAAAAATAATATTTATTGAAAAACGGAGTACAAGGGGTACCCAAACCCATAAACATCTCAACTTGAGAAGCATAAATTTACAACAGTGAGATAGCCCTTTCGGTGTCGACACCAAATTTATGTGTCAACACCACGTCCGTGTCGGAGATTCTGAAAGCTTACCATGTGGTGTCGACACCAATATTATGTGTTGACACCACGTCCGTGTCGGAGATTTTGGATGCTAACCGTATGGTGTCGACACCAAAACAACGGGTCGACACCACACCCATAGCGAATTTTTGTCCTCTTTTGCACTTAAGCACTAAAATTACATAGATGGGGATTGAGGAGCCAATCTGAGAAACCATACCTCAAAACCTTTCCTCTATTTGTCAACCAGAGAAAGGACCTTACTTGGACATAATCAAATATCTTGTTTGTATCCACCATTTTATTGTTGAACAAAATCTCATTTCGAGTGAGCCATATAGTCCATACCAGAGCTAACCACACCATCTCCCAACCAATCCTCATTCGTTTGGACACTGCAATACCCTCATGGTTGTTAAAGACATCCCAAATATTACTAGCCAACACAGTTTGAACACCCCACCAATTGAAGCATCTATTCTAGATTTCAACAGTGACTTTACAAGTAATGAATAGATGATCACAATCTTCCACATGTTCCTGGCAAAGGCAGCACATCACTTTTGCAGGATCCTTGATAATGCCTCTCTTGAATAAATTAGTTTTAGTGGGCACTTTATTTAAAAGAAGTTGCCAATTGAAACCACACACCTTTGTAGGGGCATTTGGATTCCATACTCTTCCAAAGACATACTTATGGCTCTTCATTTGTGTGGCAGTAAGATTGGAATAACCTGATCTTGTTGTGTAGCAACCATCTATGCTAAATTTCCAAACCCACTTATCTTTTCGTCCTTGATATAGCTTAGTTGATTCCAGCACCTTTTTTAATTCCTCTACTGCTTGGGATTCTCTGTCTAGCAACAAACGCCTCCAAGGTAACGTCCAGCTCCATTTGTCCTCAATCCAAACTCCCATTTGCTTTATTTTATAGTCCATACCTGCAGAAAGCATATAAAGCCTTGGAAATCTATGAGCTAGGACCCCCTCCTCACACCATGAATCCCACCAAAAACTTACTTCTTCTCCATCTCCTAATATAATCTCGAAACCATTTGATAACCACCCATTTCTATTTTCTCCCAATACATCTATCCTACAAACATCCTTCCACCAGCTAGAGCCCTCCCCTCTACCATCCTTTACCCATGACATCCAATTCTCGTTCCCAACACCATATTTTTCCTTAATTAACCTACTCCACAGCCCCACCTCTCCTTTAGCAAGCTTTCCCCACCATTTACCGAGCAAAGAAAGATTAAAGGTCCTAATACTCTTAACTCCCAGTCCCCCCTCGTGTCTAGCTTTACAAACCATCTCCCAACTGACCCAATGCACTTTCCTACTTTCTTCACACCCACCCCATAAAAAATCCCTCCTGATCAAGGTTTTTAAAACCGGACCGGACCGGCCGGTTGAACTGGTCGGACCGGTACCCGGTGATAAAAATGATTCGGTTCACATAAGAAAACCGTTTGAGGTCAAAATCGGTCAAAACCGGTCAAAAACCGATAAAAACAGGTAAAAACCGGTAAAAACCGGTAAAAATCGGTAAAACCGATAAAAACCGGTAAAACCGGTAGAACCAGAAAAATCACCGGTTCAATTTCTCATGCAATCTTCTTTCAATTTTTTCCAATTTCACCCTTCCCATTCCTTTCTTATACCCATTTTAACCTTTAACTTTAACAAAATTACAAA